AATGGCTTCGTTCACATAATACAGTGCATCAGCGTTGACTATTGGCAGGAAGCCGACACTGATGATAGTCGCGCTGTTATCAGTATTGCCATACCTAGCATCACCGCTTGTGCCAGTTGGAAGATGGAGCCCCCAAGGCGGGCGACCGGGGGGGGGGTCTTATCTTATCAGCACGTGCCTGTTGACCAACAGCATGGAAATAGTCTACGTACCTACTCGGTACTGGCTAACCCATGAGTAATGCCTGAGTCACCCGCCAAGCGCGGCCAGCGTTGCTGACGGTAATCTTTGTAATTCGCAGCCGGTCCATGGTTTGCTGCTTGTCAATGCTTTGCGATCCCCAATTCCCCGTCTCCAGCCAATCCTCGTATCGGTGGATCAGTCCAGCCAATTTCCTTTTCCCTTTTTCCCCTAAATCCCGTGCGCAGGACCGCATGGCGTTGCTTACTCGACCCATTATAAGAATTGACTAACAGAATGTATGTCAGATTAAAATAACCGCTTCTACTTCCAGGAAGATTCTATACTGTTCGCAACTGTACCGACCAGAGTCCTATATAAAGCCCATCGCAACCACCCCCCACATGAAACTCCTACTTTCTTTTTGCATCGGCATCATTGCTATACTATACACTGCTATTTACCACTACACCTTCGATCTTCGAGACTTGATACCCTCTACCATATTGGCTGACCAATTTCCCGCCAACCTAACCACCAACACCACTACCACCAGCATTACCAACACCACCAACACAACCCCCATCGATATCATAATCCCACCCACCAACAAAATGACCCTCCCCCGCAGCATCCGCCAAGTCTTCCTAGCGATCGAGCAAGCCGAGGGCGCGGGCGCGCGGGTGCGGCGGTCCATCGGCACGCCGAAGCTGCGGCACCTCAGCCCATTCCTGATGCTGGACCACTTCACGATCGGGACGGGGGCGGGGTTCCCGGACCACCCGCACCGGGGCCAGGAGACGATCACGTACCTGCTGTCGGGCGGGGTGGACCACGAGGACTTCGCGGGGAACCGGGGCACGATCGGGCCGGGGGACCTGCAGTTCATGACGGCGGGCAAGGGCATCATGCACGCGGAGATGCCGCACGAGAACCCGGACGGCGCACCCAACGTCGGCATGCAGCTGTGGGTCGACCTCCCCAAGGACCTCAAGTACTGCGAGCCGCGCTACCGCGACCTGCGCAGCGCCGAGATCCCCCGCGCCACCGCGGACGACGGCCGCGTCACCGTGAAAGTCATCTCCGGCCAGTCGCACGGCGTCGACTCCGTGCGCGACCTCGCCTACACCCCGGTCTGGCTGCTGGATATCTCTGTCAAGCCCGGCGGCCGCGTGCGCCAGGCCCTGCCCCTCGGCTGGAACGCCTTCGCCTACACGCTGCAGGGCGCCACCGTCTTTGGCTCCGGTGATCAGACCCGCAACGTCAAGGAGTTTCACAATGTCGTCTTCGAGCAGCAGGGCGAGTTCGTCGAGGCCTCCGTGCCGGATAATGCCGAGGAGGAGGGCCGGTTCTTGCTCGTCGCCGGTCAGCCCCTCGATCAGAAGGTCGTCCAGTACGGTCCCTTCGTCGTGACGAGCGAGGAGGAGGTCTACCAGGCCATGATGGATTTCCGGACCGCGTCGAATGGGTTTGAGAAGTCGCGCGGCTGGGAGAGTGAGATTGGCAAGAGAATGGCGTTTTAGAGAGTTGTTTCGATTTGATTTGATGTACTGTACTTGATAGCAACTTGGCGTTGGGGGGGGTTTCGGTAGCATTAGGGTTTGATCTAATTGAGCTTCTGTCTATGACTTTGTGTTTTTGGTGCCGTCTGGTCTGAATTATGGTTTCATGGAATGTAGTATCAGAGCGTAATATTTCAGATATAGATTTGGGTACAGAGTGACTGAGATAAATCAAGAATATAGATGGGAAAGGCGGTTGGCAGGACACGGACACAATGGATATCGTGTCAGCTCATCGTCAGGCGCACTACATGAACCCCGGTCATTTGGAAAATACTTCGGACACCTCGATACATCTCATCAAACATGACTGCGTACTCTGAGCATGCAGTCTCCATTCTGTTGCTCTGTGCCGTGCCAGCTGCAGGCGCGTCATCAACTATTCTATTTGGCAAAGTGCAAGTCATATGCCAGCCACTTGCGGGCCAAGATACCCGGCACATCCAGACCAGGGGTGCCGTAAGTCAACGGGGCATAGAACACGAAGCCCCAGATAGTGGCGGCCAGAATCACCAGAGTGGCGACCCATCCCGCAATCAGAGACTTCCGTCCGAGACGCTCCGAGGCCGTCACAAAGTGGGTGATCCGAGCGGTTGCCTTAGACTTGCCGGTCGAGTCATCCTCCAGAGGCACAGACTTCACAACGGAGATGGGCTCCAAGTTGAAGATGAACTCAATCAGAGCACCGGCAACGAGGGCGGAAGCAAGGTGAGCAGGAAGATAGTGGTGCAAGAAACGCTGACGACCCATCAGCCAGAAAGGGAAATAATGAGCCGCCCAGCAGAGGAACAGGAAGCCAGTGCTGTTATACAAGCGCGAACGCGCACCCACGCCCCAGACTGCGAATCGTTAGTACTGAGCATGTATATGATAAGGCAAGATAACTCACTCTCTTCTACGGCATCGACACCACGTCGGAGAGACAGTTGATCGGCACCAATAACACCTGCGAAGACTGCCAAGAGACTGCTCGCGATCCACCAGCCGATCGGGTTACCCAAAAAGTAGATCTGCTCCCGGGTATCGTTCTTAGTCCAGAAGCTGACACCGCGGAGAAGGAAAGGCCACTGGAAAGGCTCGCTGGCGTAAGGATGGCTGGAAGTCAGAGCGTTGTTGTGATGGAACATAGCGCGCTGCAGCTCGATATACTTGCGGAAGAAAGACAGATGCTTGACCTGGCGCTCTTCCTTCACGAGGCGTGGACTGCCTTCTTCTAGAGACTCAATGGATTCGATAAACCAGAGGTTACTGGTCTGAAGAATGTTCTTGTTGCCATTGATTTCGGCCTGCTTAAAAGCCCATTCCGGCAAAGGAGTCGTGTGCGTCCACATGGCCACCCGAGTGGGCACGTGGACCAGCTTGAAGTGACTCGAAAGAGTTCGGAACTCCTGCTGGGGCTTCGCATTCTCGATCTTGATCTCGAAGAGTGTGTCATTGTGGCGCTCGCCGTTGGCAAGTTCTTGGGAGACGGTAGTGAACTCCTGGTTGGTCGGATAGTAAGGCGACGCCACATCGTGGGTGAGCAACATTGTGTCTGTGCCCAAATGACGGAGCTGGACAACATCACCATTCCGTACAGGATGTCCAGTGGTGTCAGTGACGTCGAAGGGGACCGTGGGGATGATCTGCCAGTGGTTGTTGGTGTCGTTGTAAGGGTAACCGGTGACCTGCTGGCCCTGGCTGGAAATACGTCCATCATCATAGCGAAGCGGGTATGTCTCCAGGTGGCTGTGCAAGAAAACCTTGGTGTCCTTGTGTTTGATAGTGATACTGTCATAGTATTGAATGCCGATGGAGTCCGCAGTCAGGGCATTGTCGCTGAGAGTCTCCTGGAATTCCGGGGTCATGAAGTCGTCGCCAGGACCGGAGCGGTTCAGAATGGTGAAGTGAACCTGGAACCAGAACAGATAGAAAAAGAACGGAACGACGACTAGTCCAAAGGCGCGTGCAGCGAAGTGCTGGCTCCAGCGGAACATGCTGAGAGAACCGCCAGGTCGGCGGATGTCCAACAAATTCCACAGGTCGACCAAGACCGCAGATCCGATGGTGACGAAAGTGAAGACACCAACGTACTTGGTGGAGATAACACAGCTTAGAGACACACCGGTCAAGAGAAGCCATTTCCACCACTTGCGGCCGAACGGCTGATGACGCAGCTTGTAGAAGCGGACATAGCACAAGACACTCAACGCCATGGCCAAAACCAGACTGGCGTCCAGGAGGATCAGGCGATCCTCTCCAATGTGTGCATTGTCAAACAAGACGAGACCTGCCGACAAGACACAGGCTGGTAGGGAATAACCGGACTCCCACATGATGAGAAACACCACGGGCACGGTTAGAGCACCGAGGGTAGCCGGCATAGCACGAAGGGCAACATAGGGGACCTTGTGGTCGATGTACGAATCGCCGATGTTGTCGAACAAAAAGTGGCCATCATAGCCGATCAGCCATCCCACAAAAGCAAAAAGAAGCTTGCCGAATGGGGGGTGAACATCGAAGAAGTACGTGCGCTGAAGGTAATACGAGGCGAACTGGATAACGACAGGTGTTCGGTTAGCAGTGGTCCACAAACTCAATTCCCTGCAAAACAGCTCGACTTACCTTTCCAAAATGCACCTCATCGAAGACAACTTCGTTGGGATACGAGATCTTGTAGAATCGGGTGATGAAAGCCAGGACAGTCAGAACGGCAATGGCCAGCCAATAGCTCCATTCTGACTGGGGACGAGGCGCTTTGGTAGAAGAAAAAGGAGACGAGAAATTGTCCGCAGGCACGGGGGTACTCTCCTTCTTGCCACCCCTCTTGCGAAGAGAGGGTGAAGGGGAAGACATAATTAAAGGAAGATGTGGTGGCTAGTAGGAAAGAAACGAATGAATGAGAGACGGCTCTATATACTGGAATAGAGGGAACCAAAACAACAGATCAGATCAGCCACGTTTGAACAAGCAGAAGGGCAAGTCATCCCAGTGGACGTACTTACAAGGGAGAAAGAGAAGGATCAAGAAGAGAGCATATTCAAATTGGCTCACAATCTCGTAATATACCAAGTCGCTTCAGCCGCAGCAGTGGAGGGGAGGGGGGCCAGTTAAGTCGACTGATGGGGGCGGATTGCGTGTCTTTCCCAATGACCGCGCGGAACGGAAGAACCTGAAGCACAGATCCGAAACACTCCCTACACGTAAGCCTTATGGCGTCAGGGTGAGATCGACCGTAGATATTTAAGGTTATTTGATTTGTGCTAATTTATTATAAACCAGTAGCAAGAATAGCGAAATAAATTCAATCTAGCAATATAGCCAACAAAGCACATGTACCCCTGGGATATCCAATGCATATGCGAACAAAAATTGCGCCCTTCACGCTCAAGCATGACCAACTGCGGTAGGTATGTATGTACAATTTCAGAATTAGATGGACAAAAAGAAGAGAGATCAAACTGGTGGGCGGAGAAGATCATTCACTCATCGTCTGATACATCGAGCAGCTCCAATTCAGTCTTGACAAGAGTCTGGAAGTCACTGCGAGAGAGACCAGTCGCCTTTGCCAGTCGGAACAAGCTCTTAATGTTGGAGCCAATATGTTGCTTTACCCCGACTTCATAGGCAGACTGGTTCTCCGCTTCCTGCTCTAGCTTGGCCACTGGATCGGAGCTGCCAGATGAGATGGATGAAGGGCGAGGATGATTCAACGACATGGCGTAGGCTCCATTTGTCCCAATTGCTGAGTGTTCGGTCGCGTGCGCAGACGTGTCAGGGTTCGAGCCACTGACTTGCCGTTGCAAGAGACGAGCCAACATGTCGCCATTGAGCGAGGATGGACCGATTTCGGGTTGCTCTTCCTCGGGATCATGGTTATCCATGGCTGGCTGCACATCGTCATACTGAGAATAATAGTCTGCGTCAGACTGTTGCAAAGATGAGACGGCGTTAGGAGCCGGGGTTTTCACCGCGGGGGTCCGTCCGGGAGTCGCATCGTATTGGGCCCAGTAGTCATCGTCATCATCCTCTTCCTCTTGTGTATCTTTGCCATTGCTCTGTGTTGCCGCTGTGGTCGCTTGTCCATTGTTTCCCGTTGCTGCTACCTTATTTGCCGTCCCCTGTTCCCTTTGGTGGGCGTTTGCCTCCCCAATTGAGATCGACCAGACTCCGTCCTCCCCAACAACGCTATCCTGTGGCAAGACTTCCGCTACCCGCCACGCAGCTCCTCCGCCTTCTTCGTCGTCCGGACACCAGACGTATATGACCTTTAGGCTATACTCAGGTAGCTGAATTTGCGACTGTAGAGTCTCCTCATCCAGTCTCTTGTATCGAATTGGAATATCGTCTGGGAGGTCAATCTCGCCGGAAACGGGGTGGGGCTCAAAACTAGCACCATCCACCAGAGATTGCAGACGCTCAGCCGATGCAGAATCCCAGCAAAGCAACTGAAGCCATGAATCGGTGGGCGAAGCGGGGACGGTAGTGAAGATCTTCACACGCTGGCGAATAATCGGAGACAGGAGTGGTAGCAGCGCAGGAGGGGGTTGGGACGAGACGAAAGCCGTAGGTAGACAGGCGAGCAATGGCGGGAGCAGCATGCGAGGTTCAAGAGAAGGGATTAGCTCGACCATGATGACCGGTCTTGGGGGGTCTAGAGGAAAAATGGCGAAATGAGTGATATGTAGTCAGAGACTGAGCTGCGAGCTGCGGCGGCGTACTGCGTAAAATCGCAGTTGGGTTGGAGAGTGCGGGGAGCGGGAAAGAAATGATGTCTGTAACCGATAAGGGGAAAAGGAAAGTAAAAAAGGGGAAGAGGAAGAGGAAGAGGACGAGGAGCTTATGGAGGAAGAGCCATGATTATTATGAGGGCGAAGAGAACAGAAGAAGTGGAGGAGAGTGGGTGGGTGGGTGGGTGGGGGGGAGCCAAGTGACGGTCGATCAGACTGACCGAAGACGCGAACAGAGAGATACGATCCCAGAGTCAGAAAGAAGGCTTGGTAACTGAATGATAGGAGTCGGAAGGTACAATACATAGCGTACGGAGTACAGTACTTTTCAACTAACCCGCTTAACTCCCTTTCGTCCGGTGCTGTGACGTGGGTCCCCGCTGCAATCGGCGCGGGGAAAGCAGCAGCAGATGGAGCTCCGGCGAGCCATTGAGGAGCGGGGAAATGGAATCATTGAGATTCAGAGTCGGTTCTCGGAGTTAGAATTAACGGCTAATTACTCCGTCAATTCACCATTCACAATGCCGTGCGATAAGAAGGGGCGGGGATTATGGGAGGTGGTCAAGCTACAAGTAGAGCTACAAGAAGAGCTCCAAGTACTTAATTGCTGAAAGGCAATGCATTCGTCCCTGATGTTGAGAGCGAGCTGGACCAACACTCCTTAATTGTGCCAAGTTCTTAGTAACGCTGAAGAAGCTTATTCGTCATTCTTGCTTCAAGAAGCCCCTCCTGCTGTAGATTCAGGCCTACGGCCTAGATCAATATATGCATAATTGCTTCGATTTTGAGAGTGCTTGAGTGTAGAGAAAGGCCCTCGGACAGCTATATGAACAGGTGTATACAAAAGGTTACTGGGCGGGTGTTTGAACAGGCCTGCGGCTACTATGAGTAAGAGAGCCAGTGCTTAAGACAGGTGTAAGTATGGAGTACATCACGGGCCCTGATGGGCCCGCCAAGTTCCCTTTCACAAGGCCCTGAGGCCCTGGGTCAGGGGGGTCACCCGCTAGGCAGGCCCTTATCTATCCATCTCCCTCGGGGTCCTTCCGAAGGACAAAACTCGCCGATCACTTGGTTCACTTTCGGAAAGCCACGCACTTCTGTGGGAACGGCTGCTTTTATGTACTACAACGCGGTTCCTAACTGAATATGAAACCCTTAGAGTAAGTATAAGTTTCTATATTTAGAGATATACGACGAAATATATTGGCATTTGGAGAAACTAAATATATAGCCAAAGCCTTCTTAGGTACTTCTGCAAGGAAGTATACAAATAAGTCTATAAACAAGACTTTACCAAGCATCTCTCAGAGTGGTGAATGAAGAGGTAAGGTACCATGCAAGACTTTATGAAACACTTATCTAAACCAGTCAGATAGTTTATCTTCTTAGGGACTATATAGTAGAGAATGACAATTTGACAAATTAATAAGTAGTCTCGGAGTACGGAGACATACATAACATTCTAGAAGTGCGTGGCGATCCGGAAGTGCGTGGCCCTCTCTATTGCGCCATCCAATTTCAAAGCCTCAACAAATCAATTAACAGCGGAATCGTAGGTCACTTTTCCTCTGCATAGGACGATCGCACGAGAAGTCCAGCTGCGTCAGTGTGACCCCCGGGGTCTCGCCCTGAATTTATGAGTCAGCCAAGCAGGGATTCCATGAGCTAAGGATTAGGACCTGAGCAGTGATTGATTGCTAAGATATGCAAGAATTAGGAATTGGACGAGCTATCGAAAATCTTCAGCAATAGATAAGCCGGTTCATCGCCACCGTATTCCATTAGTTTCTTCCAATGCTTCCCCCGCTTTTTGGACAATGTCGCTGCAATCAATCGTCCGTCAGCCATTGCAATTGCTCTCAAACCCAAGAATACCAATTCTTATCACTGCGTGCTCGACCAGGCGCCAATTGAATTATGGCCTCGAAAAGCGCCGATGGCGCTGTGGTCGAAAGGCAGGTTGGCACGGTGTCACCGCTAGATGAGAAGCCGGCCCCGCAAACCGCATTCTACCTGACTGAGCAGGAGTTGAAACTGCTGGAGAAGCAAGTTCGATGGAAGACAGACTTACGTCTTTGTAGCATTGCCGGCATTCTGTGCAGTCTCAACTTACTCGACTCGGGTATTCTCTCGTCTGCATCGGTGACTAGTATGCCCAGCGACCTGGATCTGCATGGAAACCGCTACTCCGTCTCAATTTTCATATTCACAGTTGCGAGCATCGTCTGCCAATTGCCGTGTACTCTCGCAGTTCGTTGGGTCGGTCCCAGAGTCTGGTTCGCCGCGATCACCTTCATATTCGGCCTAATCACGTTATGTACCGCCTTTATTCATACTTGGCGACAGATGATTGCGCTGCGAGTGTTGCTAGGAATAGCCATGTCAGGGATCTACCCTGGATTGACTTATCTCATTAGCACTTGGTACCCACGACGGGAACAGCAGGTCCGGTTCGCGGTTCTCCAGTCGGGGGAGGTGATCGGGCTCGCGACAGGGTATATCGTGAACTATGGCCTGAACATGCTGGATGGGAAAGCAGGCATGCAAGGCTGGCGCTGGATGTACCTTGTTCAGGGCTTGGTCAGTTGCGTCATTGGGATTCTCACATATTGGTGGATGGTGGACTTCCCGGAGAATGCTCACCGTAGCTTTCACTTCCTGAGCGAAGCAGAGGCACGCGTGGCTGCACAGGTGAGAAGCAACACAGCAACAACAGCAGCGACAGCAATAACTGACAGAGCAGCAACAGCGGATTCGAGCTGACCGTGATGATATAATGCCCGAAGCTTTCTCGTGGAGCAAGGCTTTGGCGCCTTTTGCCGATCTGAAGCTGTATGGCTTTGCCTGCATGTACTTCTTATTGAATCTTGTCTCAACGGCGCTGAACTACTTTCTACCTATCATTCTCGAATCAGGCATGGGCTTCTCAAGCAATGACTCTATCCTTCTCTCAACACCGGTACGTTATTCTTGTCCTTTATTTCGGAGTTGGTCAGATAGGGGTTTCCCACGGATCGTGTTTCCAAGGTTGTAGTTCGCGTCGTCCTAACCTTGAATATTTACCTTGGCAGCCCTACTATTGGTCCGTACTTCCAGTCCTTTTCACGTCATTTGTGGGCGATTCTTATCGCATCCGGGGTCCGCTCATCACCTTCAACGCCCTCTGCCTGATAGCTGGATTTCTTATGTTTGGTCTACCGTCCTCGACGCAGGTTACTATTCGGTATATTGGGACCTTTCTCGCTACCGGGGCATATGTCTCCAACTGGGCAGCTCTGAACGCATTCATGGCCAACAATGTCGTGGGACAGTGGAATCGCGCCTCCACTGCAGCCGCCGTATCGGCGTGTAATGGCCTGGGTGGTGTGGCGGGCAGTTATATTGTGCGACAGCAGGAAGCACCACGCTATCAAACCGCCGTATGGGTATCTATTGGGTATGTCTGGTTCAACCAATCCTTGGCTGGAACCAAAGATACTGACAAGATCAGCTCCCATGTCCTCATGATTGTTCTCGTGGGTGTCTTCACACTATCTTTCTACTCGCTGAATAGACAGCAGAAGAAAGGAAAGATTCTCCAGAATATGGTACGTCTGCCTCGTGCGATTGATGCGATATTTCCCTAACTCAATCGATATCAGGCTGGATTCCAATATACATGTTAGCAAATAGATTTTGGATCAATCGAAATAGCGCATGGTTCTCACATTGAGCTGGTCCAAGAGACTTTCGTCGATCCGGTCCTCCGTAGTTACTCGTATGATTTCTGCCCGAGTCTCATCGGCTGTCCCTTTTGAGAGGTGAATATCAGACCTCACTCTGAATGGACCCCAATGCAAACCTATTCGAAGGGCGAGTTGAATCCCCAGTAGATAGCCTGGTTTGACTTTCCAAGATAGACAGGCTCTGGCCGTGGCCGCGAGCGCTGCCCCCTCCACGGGAAGATCCGTCCTCGCTTTCGACCATGGCACGTCTGCTCGCATCCTTCTCAGAAGCACGAATTCCGACTGAATTTTTGCTAAAGAGTTTCTGGGGTAGGAACCGGACGATTTTTTAAAGCCCAAGTGGGGGGCAGGCAGGCGGCTATGATGATGAGGGCTCCTTCGAGAATAGTCCAGATCCCAAGATCGGTCGATGTCCCTACACAAACGCAGGCGAGTCAGTATGGAAGGTTGAATTAGACCGCTGTGGAGGACATACGTGTAGGATCAACTGTCGCTCTTTCTTCGAAGAAGTTTGTCATGCGCAAAATGCTGGCTACCGTTCCCCTGTTGCACGGTCAATCAACGAAGCATACATATGGCATACTGTACAAATGATATGCGATGATGCGGGAATCACGCTTACAATCCCCCCAGAAGGAAAACTCCCGTCAATGCCAGCTTGTGACCACGAGAGGTATGGAGTTTCCAAACATAGGGCAGTGGTAAAGTCAACAAGAGGACATCCGTTAAGATGTTCGGCGGCGAGACGTATCGGTAGAAGGCTTGTTGGTTAAAACATGAGCCGCCTTCGATACCTGTAGTCTTGTTCCAGGTGTAATCGATTGGCCAGCATTGAAAGATAGCTGCGAGCAAAACCCCAATGCCGTGTCCGAGTACGATTGCACCAACGATATAGGCGGCGACTTTGAAGTTTCGTGTGCTAAAGATGCGAACATAAAATACCAGAATGGAAATCTTGGCTGGAGTTATGACGAAAGGGAAATCTATGATCTCATTGGCGTATAGACCCTATGTCTCAATTGACCTGTCAGTCACCTATATCGGGCCCCGAAACTTTCTGGTCAGTACTTTCTCTAGAGCAACCAACTTCTCTGGAGTCTGTTCGACACAACTCATGGGGTATCCGACACCTGCGACTTCGACCACTATGTTGAGGGTCGGCTGTTGCCTAATGGGTGATAACCGAGGCCGTCACTTACAAACCACGTACAGAGCCGACTGTCCCAGGCTAGCAATCTAGAGGGCTTATCAGCAATTAAGACACGGACTGATGACTAGCTGCCTTACCAAGGCGATGACAATCAGAAAATCATCAAGCGCGTATGCGATTCTCTGACTGTGTCGGGTATAAAAGCGAGCAATCACCCCAACAATCTGCAGGATTGCCATAGCAATGGCTACGCCCAGCAGAGATCCCCCATTGTAGGGAACATTAGGCGAACGCTGAGACATACTTCCACTGCTATATCGCCTACTCACCACCAGGCCTACATCGGCGAGAACGAAAGGATGTGCATGTAGCGTCAATTCCAGATGGAAAGAGAGGAGCAGCCCGGCAGCGGGCTTTTTGGCGTGTGTTTTAAGCCATTGAACAGCAACGAAACGGCATCCTTCGAGGAGATCTGGTAAGAAAGGTAGTAATAGACATGTTTTCTTCAAGAAGTCGCAAGAACCATTACATAATCTCGAGATCAGACCAGCGGACTGTCGAACCATTGGTAGACCTTATCAAGAGTATGGTTTGCCGCCGTCAGTCTCCAACTCCTGGTCAATTGTCAAGGTAAGACTACTTAGGTAGTCAAGGCCGAATGCAGCACCTACTTGAATAAACTGATTGTTCTTCCTCCAAGATTGTCATCTCACAGTCGTCTCGACACTCGGGATAGCTTCGCCTCATAAACTTAGCATACACACCGGATGTGTCTTCGACCTTCAAGAGCTGGGAAGATTGCCCGTAGGTGATTTGAATAAGGTTCCCGGGTCGGGATCATTTACCTGTCTCTACCTACAGTCACGGTACTGCCGACTCTTACTCCTTCTGGCACTTGCTAGGAGTCACTGGGCAACTACCTACTTACTTACTAGTACTCAGAGGTAACGAGTCTTGGTCGGTCGCTGCCTGCCATTATATCGACTATATTTGACACATGCAATCAACCGAGCCTTTCCGGTTACTTATGCTGTTGTTGGCTATCTAATACCCATCCTTATTAAGTTTCATGTGATTCCGCAGTTGCTGATGATCAATCTCAATGCCCTCATTTGTCGATGACAAAGTGTTGGCTGCTTACATTACACAAGGTGGCAGTCAGTTACGGAATGGCTGGTTCCAGGCCTCGATAATTCTAATCTAAGGCTGATTCACGTCATATGACGATTAATTCGAGTATGCTGCGCAAAAATGATTCTCTCTGCCTATTGTCATACTGAAGGGATCCAAATATAGCTTCTAGAGCTGAAGCCAGAACTATCAAGCACCTTCATAATCCTGCAGATCTCTCAACATGAAGTCTGGGGGCTTATGGACCGGTCAACCTGTTTTACTAAACCTCAATCCGCCAGTGACTTAGCCTTGCCCTCCTTCCATGATGTCTTCGAGCCGATCCTTCCGGCCTTCAAATGACCGAGGCCCGCAGATTAGGGCAATTGCCATCGCGTTGATCATTCTCCCAACAGTTGCCGTTGCCCTCAGGTTCTGGTCGAGAGCCTTGTTGCCAAAACCTCCTCGCGCCAACACCCACTCTGGGTTCTGGTGGGATGATTGGACTGCTCTCGCTGCTGCGGTTAGCCGCGGATCCCCTCTCAGCATTGGCATGGACTGATCATGCTCTGCTAGCTATTTAATATTGCTGTTTGCGGTATCAGTCTGAGAATGATCCGGCTTGGACTGGGGAGACAGGTTGAAACAGTATCTCCAGCAGACCTCGTCTCTTTTCTGAAGCTGTTATGGGTTGTATACTTTCTCGTACTTGGGGGGACCGCGATAGCACGAGCGTCAGCTCTGTTCTTCTACGCAAGGGTTCTTAGTCAAGGTCCCTCTCGCTTCCGATATGCGCTCTGGGTAGTGCATGGGTTGAATATCGCATGGTCGATCAGTACTATCATCATGATCTTTCTCACATGTTCTCCGATCGAGAAAAACTGGATGCCATATCTGCCGGGCACCTGCATGGATACAAAGAGCTTGTGGTTGGGGTTTGGAACGCCGGATCTCATTATCGATGTCCTCGTCCTACTCTTGCCCTTGCCCATGCTCTGGAAGCTGCACTTGAGACTCATGCGGAGGCTTCTTCTAACCGGAGTATTCACTTGCGGATACGTGTAAGCAGAGCCCCGGCGAGTTAGCTTGGCCATTCACTTACCTCTTAGTGTGGTTGCGGTTTCCATAGGGCGTCTAATCACAATTGTTCAAGTCAGTCCGCACTTAGCGACGAACCCAACTTGTAGGTTATTCCAACCTGTGGCAAGTGAAATACCCTCACTCACAACTATATAGATCATGCCGTCAATGCATCGATCTGGGTCGAAATAGAAATTCCTATCTCCATCATCAGCATTTGTCTTCCCGGCATCTACTTTCTGGTCTCCCATGCGTATGAGCAGGGTTTTCACTCGTTGTCTTCGAGAGGTTCGAGCTGGTGAATCGTAATTTCGATAATGTTCTCATACCTGGAGTCGAGGGCTGAGAGCTCTTCACGTTACTATGCAGAGAACCTTCCGGGACCGATGGTTGGGTTGGATTGAGTTGGCTCTCGGCTCGTATCCAGCCAAGACTGAGGAGATGCTTCGTCAGACTCGTATGTCGGCTCAGCCCAGTCCTGGAGGTGAGTCCGAGTACTATCTCTTCTGATTGGCTCTAGAGCTCGATATAAGCATGGATATACCGGCGCATATCTCAAGTGCAGGGTATTGACGGATAAGCAAAACAATGATCATTGATGACTTGATAGTTGATATCGGCCTGTCGATCCTCTCCGAGCAGGCACGGGCACCTTACCATTTCTGGACAAGCGCATGTGCTCCATGCTCCACCATGAGACGTCATTCAGGGTTGTTGATTAGCGATAGTACTAAAGACAATAATATAGTTGAATTATCACTCGCGCAGCTTACGTGAGCCAATGGTAATCCCTTTCAAATTCAAACATAAGGAGATGAAGGTATTCGTGAAGTGGTTCAACTCTAGCGACCAAGCTGTATGAGGTGTACATACAGTACACCTTTTCCATAGTCATCGCAATGGCGAATCGTGACACTGTATAGGCAGCTACAAGAAGACCATATGCACTATGCACTCAGAACAGACAGAGGTTTAATGAAATTCCCAAAGGTCGGACGCAAAGAGCTACACAAGAGCAAGAAGGATCTGAGAGTCACAATACCAGAGCTAGCAGGAGAAAAATGAATTGCTGGCGAGGTACAGCACAAGTCGTCGTATCTAGTCCGTTCTATCATTTGCACTTGTTCATATCAATTTCACCGGACCTTACCAGTAGCTCATCCTTTCCTTGATTTGAACTTGCTCCAACGATCCTCAGCGAGACTACCTACAGTAGCGCGCTGCTAAGCGTAGTACGCGACTATCCGGGGCCTTCCCCGGACATAGGGGAACAGCTTGTTAACGCCGTGATTACCCTTAACAATCCTCATCCATCAACATAAATAGCCTCATTTCTAGCAATCGTGCACAGTCCGAGCTTTTTCTGAGTCTAACCTAACCATCACTCGCCACCCCATCCCCACCAAACAGCAAAAGCCAACATGCCACCGCCATACACCACCCAGACCACCACCACCGACCTCCTAGCCGACTACGCCCCCCTCATCAAAGGCAAGGTCATCCTCACCACAGGGGTCTCCCCCAACTCCCTCGGCGGCTTCTTCGTGCAGTCCCTCGCCCTCGCCCAACCATCCTGCCTCATCCTTGCCGCCCGTAATGCCAACCAGCTCGCCCAAACCGCCGCAGCGCTCCAAGCCAGCAGCACCAGCACCAACCACCCAACCACGCAGATCCGCACCCTACAGATCGACCTATCCTCCCTCGAGAGCGTCCGCGCCGCCGCGGCCGAGGTCAACGGCTGGGACGACCTCCCCGCGATCGACGTCGTGGTCAACAACGCGGGCATCATGGGCGTGCCGGACTATCGCCGCTCGCCCGAGGGCTTCGAGGCCCACTGGGCGACCAACCACCTCGGCCCGTTCCTGTTCACCAACCTGCTCATGCCGAAGATCGTGGCCGCGCCGAGCCCCCGCGTGGTCGTCGTGAGTAGTGATGGCCATCGCTTGAATCCGGTGCGGTTCGACGATTTCAATTTCGATGTGAGCCTGACTGTTGGGTTTTGATTCATTCATTGGGACAAACAAGTGAAACCAGACGTGAGAGAGAATAACAAGCAAGCTGACACAAAGCCTGGGGGGGAATGTAGGAAGGGAAAAGCTATGATCGCTGGCGTGCCTACGGGCAAAGCAAAACAGCCAACATGTTGTTCGCCCTCTCGCTGGCGCAGAAGCTGGGGTTGAAGCGTAACCTGCAGGCGTTCAGTTTGCATCCCGGGGTCATATTTACCAATCTGGACAGGGATGTGGATTGGAGTGTTGGGATGAAAGAGCTTCGTACGTTGCAGGATCAATTGTTTTCTCCCCTCTCTCTCTCTCTCTCTCTCTCTCTCTCTCTCTCTCTCTCTCATCTTTCGTGTATTGTGGATGTGGAGAAAGGTTCGTCTCGGCTAATGGGTGTGTTTCGTACAGAGGCTGTGGATCGGTCGCTTGGGAATCGAGAAGGTTGGAGGGACGAATTTGACGCGAAGAATCTCGAGAGGGGTGCGGCGACTCATGTCTATGCGGCCTTTGATCCGAGTTTGAAGGGTAGGCGATTCGATTCTCTGCCCCGGGTCCACCTGATTGCTGACGAAATGGCAGCTGCCAATGGGGCGTATCTGATTGATTGCCATGTGGCTGACCCCTTGGTGGATACGGTCAAGCCATGGGCCACCAGCAGCTTCGAGGCTGAGAGGCTGTGGAGACTGAGTGAGAAGCTGGTGGGCCAGGAATTCCCTTATTGAGGAAGGACTATCAGTCGACCCAAGACTGATCGGATTGGGAAATTCAATCGCTACCTGTTGTACATTCTAGAAAGATGCTTCTCTGTTCGCCTGCCCTAAACATGCATAGATATATCAACAACAAGCTGCCCGTGGGGTATATGAGAAAGTGAATCAAGGCGCCGCTCGAAATTTGGTACATATCGGTATGAAGAAGATGAAAAATAGCGAGGTGATATACTGAGTGCAAGGGATGACCTGGTGAAACAGCATGGCGAGACAATCGAAGCGCTGCTGACCCATGCTTCAGCACCGGGGTCATCAGGACCAAAAGCCAAGGCACATCAATTCATGCGGTCCTTCTGCTCCCATTGTCCAACGAGCTTCTTCATTCCTGTCCATTCCTCTGCGCGCACATCTTCCGGAGTACCGCTAAGGCCCTTGCCGACTTCGAAAACCGTCACCACGCCGTCGAGACCACCGGTGGCAATGCGTCTACCCTCTCGCTCCTCCCAAGCCACCTTGTTGAGACTCCTCGTAAGAATGCCTCCGCGGCCTCTAGATGGCGTCGTCTTCACCGCCGGGACCTCTGTGTCCGTGTAGAGGTCCCAAACCTCGAGGTTGCCAGCACCATCGACGAGAGAAAAGACTCCAGGGCGGTGAGGAGACCATTTGGCATCGTACACCACATCTTCGCGATTGATCTCTAGGATCGGAGAAACGACTTGAGTCGTGGCTATGGCCGACGTAGCCGGCGCAGTCGTGGCTGGGGGCCGCACACGCCAGAGTTTCACGCTCCAGTCCAAACTCGAGCTGAGCAACAGATCACCCAGATCCACCGGGCCGCGTGCCGGATGGAACGCAGTGGACATGATTGGCGCAGCATGGCCACGATACGCCAGACGATGGTCGGTACCAGCCTTAGCCCCCGCTCGATCATAACGGTGGCACGGGTAGATTCCTCCTTCTTCGGTGCCAACAATGAAGAATGTCGGGTCGGATTGGGGGAATGACATGGTTGTGGGCGCAAGATCTTCAGTTTTAGATGGAGGAGGTGTGGACAGCTCTAGATACTCCTGAGGCTGAGAGAGCATATCAACAGTCCATCCACAGACAACACCATCCGTAGATGCTGTGAGGATGTTGTGGGCATTTTGGGTGCCGATTATTGAGATGCTGTAAACAGGGTGGGTATGTCCGGAGCCGGTCAGGGGTGTCTTCTGAACCGGTGCGCCTCCGCCTGCTCGCGACGAACGGGTGTCCCACAGCAGAACCTGGCCCGAATATGATCCACCAACAATCAGGTTGGGATGGAAGGGAGAGAATTTCGCGGCCAAAATGTCGGAGGTTGAATGGAAGACATACTCTGGGCGGGAGTGCAGGTGTTGGTTCCAAATCTGGACGAGGCCGTCGGGCTCATGGGGCGCAGAGGGGTTCTTGGTATACGCGGCCAGGACGAGCTCCGGGAACTGTAGAATTCATCAGTCTGACGATTGGCCGGCATCAGTGCGCGTAACAGACCTTTGGAGAGAAGCTCAGATCGCTGATCATACGTTTCTTGCTCCATCGTTCATCCCAGAATTGGCAGACCTCTCGGATGCCTCGTCTCTTCTTGCCATGCTCGTCCTCATCATCCAGCTCGCCATCAACACCCCCAAGCTCGTAATCTGCCAGAACATCATATTCTTCATCCAATGCCCGCTCAATCACTTTTGCCGACCGTTCCACAAAGTCTAAGAAGTCGTCCGACGAGGTAACAGCTTTGAGTTCATCTTCGTCCAGTGTGCGCAGCGGATACCGCATTTTTGCCATTTCAGACCCATTTTCATTCTCGAATTTCCGTTGCGCTGTCTGCAGTTCCTCCTCAATTTCTCTGCGAAGCTTCTTCAGAATTTCGTCGTCAAGCTCACTGACTTTCTTGCCGAAGCGTTTCGTGTCACCTTCATCATCGGAGTCGAGCGATATCCCATCAGGTCCTTTTAGATCATCGGTCTGTACTGCTTTGCTGTAGGTGACAATTTCGGGTTTAGGCTCAGGGACAGGCTGTGGTTCGGTAGCGGCGACAAAGAGCTCGGTTCCGACGGTCTGGACTGCGATTGAATGGGAAACGGTTCGCGCAGGAGGGCTGAAAGCTTCGGCGTTATCTCCGCTCAACTGGCTGGCGCTGAGGACGGAGTTTGGTCGGCTGCCTTTGCGCGAGAGGCCATCGGCACCGTGGCCGATCGAAGCTGATCCGGGGCGGTCGACAAGACGGGAGATGAAGTCGTCGAGCTCAGCTCTGCTGTCAGCACGACTCGGGACTGGCGATACGACCTAGGTAAACAATGGAGCTAAGTCTTACAGCTCGAGTTGAAGAAAGAATTCGCAGTTTAGCAGAGGGGTCTCTTACCTCAGAGGCGTCACCGCTGTTAGCGCGAACCTGGGAGAATTCCCTCTGGCGCAATTCCCTCTGGCGCTTGAGTTCGGCGAGTTTGGCTTTCTTAGCAAGGATTTCAGCCTTGCGCTGTTGTACTGACGAGGACATAATGTGAGGCGAATATGCACCTAGTCGATCAGAACGGAGAATATCCGTTCAGACCACGTTTGGGTACAGAATAAGGTGGGATGGTTGTTTTGTTCGTTTATTTACTTCGGGACTTTTGGGGTGAGTGTTAAGTAAATAAGAGGGGGAGGGATGGGAGTGGAACGGGGCCTCTAACTTACCGTAGTCGCGTTCCCGACCCTCCTCTCTCCTCTCTCCTCCCCCCGTCCCGCTTCTCCCAAATACCAAAAACCAAAGTCCGGGTTAACGTTAGTTGGTGGTCGGATGACATAAGCGCAGCAAGGCCGACGGTCCGGAAAAACTCGCGACAGGAACTTCGTCTTTACAACTTGGAAGCTTCAGTATCCCAGCCCGCATTGCCAGCCATTGACTGTCGATACCCTCCAAACCGGTCGCTCGGAATCCGGCTTCGATCTTTCTACTCTCACTAATTCTGTTTGATTGCCGCTCCGGAGGCCCAGGGACTCTCTTCAATCAACATGGCTTCTCAGGGTGTCAACGTGAGTCTCCGCCAGGGCCCGTTCTGATACATACTCCAGTCCCAATCCACCCCAATCCACCCAACCCAACACCACCCCCTCCAGTATGGCCCTGGGTCATTAACACTATTCAATCGCCTTATAGGTTTTCCGCTACTCGGCTCTGATTACCGGTCTCGTCTACGGTTTCTACCACCAGTCCTCCCTCACCTCCGCCGCCAAGCACGCAGAGGCCGAGCGTGAATATGCCCGCCAGGAGCGCCTGATCGAGCAGGCCAAGGCCGAATGGAAGAAGAAGACGGCGCCCAAGGACTCTAAGACGAACAGCGGCGGTATGTCTTCTCTCGCTCTCCCATAAGCTCTTAGCACAACCCGAGTCATCCGCGTTCGCTCCTCCCTTGATATGGCCAGCATGGCCCCCTCCGATAGACGCTAATTGGTGACTGTGTGCAGTGATTACGGATCCCGAGGACAGCCGGTTTGACCTTGAGGCTTTCCTGAAGCTGAAGGCCGGTGAGAACTAGATATGTTTGGAAGTATACAGCGAGAAGATGATTTGCTTTTATCTCTCCCCCGACCCGAACCTGACAAGGTATCGAGGAGAGATTGCGGGATGATCCCGGTTATGTATTATTGTTTGTTGGTCTAATTTCCCAGAGTCGTATCATTGCGAGCGAAAGGAATGATTTTCTTTTTCCACTATAGACATCATCCCCGCATCTGTACATACCCTGGGCTGTCGTGCATGTGTACACTACAGTTGGGCCAGAAGAGCAAGAGATTCAGTTGTATGCTTCGGTTTCATTGCTGATCCTTCCGTACTGCTTGCGTACCCCTGCATGACTGCCTGCCCTTGCGCGTGGTGCCGCTCTGGGGAGCTTTCAGTGACCGTATGGTACTTCATAGGACGATTGCTAGAAGACCATTGTTCTGCACGTTTGTCTCTCATATTCCAGCCTTTAGTCTTCATTAGAGGGTATTATCGTTATGGTCTCATTCGTGAGGAATATCTCCCGGTGATCTGCAGGGTTTCAACCCCGACGACTGCCAATCAAGGCCATTATTTCACTTATATCGTTGTCCAACTGGGCATCTTGCTGAGAGTCATCAAGGATGGCGTTGGGGTGTAGTAGTCCAGTTTGTTCGTCCTGGGTCCATCCATGAGCCATGAGCTTTACTATCGTGGCTGGGTCTCCTCGCTCTGTGGCTGCGGGGTCGAGACCGAGGTAGCTTGCAGCTGTTGCAGGTCTGATTGTCTCATATGCCCTGCCCACTTCTCGCAACGTCTTTTCCTGGAAATATGCTTCAAGTATGTAAGCAAGAGGATGATTCAGGAATACCTATCAGATGCTTTTGTAAGGTGTTGTCACTTACTGTCATAACTCTGTACTATCGGCTTCAGCGTATCCGACCATGGCAACTCTCTCAATATCGTGTAGACGGACTCGTGCTTGTGCTGCCAGATCGCTCGCAGTAATGCCACGCAGTTTTGCAGGGAGTCGTCTGTCTGTAAAAGGTCTTGTGGCATCCGCTTCATCAAAAACCGGGCTTCGTAACTGATAGAAATGTGAGAATTTTGACCAGTGATCGATGACCGACATCGGAGTGCTTACATTTTATCTGTCAGTAGATGAGACAAGAAGTAGGCCACATAGAATTGGCCCAGAAGCTCTGTCTGTCTGTTATCTTGGAAGGAGAGGAGATACGCTTCTTCCTCGTATGGGGAGAGTATGTCGTAGAGCTTTGACGGGGTAGCAGCCGATGCAATCGCTGCAGCAAGCTGCTCTTGCGAAAGTGGTGGGGTGTTCATTCTTGATAACTCGATTTTGTGACACTAGACCCTCGCAGCAGATCAATTCCGGTGGTGTAGGGGTGTAGGAGTGGTGTAGAAGCGGGATCGTCAATATGGCTGGCTGGCAATGATAATAATGATGCGGTGCGGGGACAATCGGAGGTTTCCCCAAAACCGCAACGGGCGGCTTGCGACTTACGTACCTGGCGTGCCAAGACCCCAGAAGAGACCACCTTGCGAAGCTCCAGTCTCGAACTCCATCTCCCCGGTCTCTCTCCCTTCCAACTTCACTCTCAACGAACCGCCTGGGCAGGACGAGAGTCACTCGTTTATCACTTTTCCCAATTGGAAATTTGATCTTCACTTCCTGGCCATTATGGCCGAATTACCCCTCAATTCCCTACTAAAGGGTAACACCGGCAGGAACACTCGCGGCCTACTGCGCATTATCATTCTAGGAACTATTGCCGCTGCCGCTGTGTCCAGTCGATTGTTCAGTGTTATTCGTATGTACCACCGGCTCCATTGGCACCGATTATACTTATACGATGGGGTTTGCTGACTGTTTCTACGCCAGGCTTTGAAAGCATCATTCACGAATGTACGTTGCCCCATACCGACCGACTTGTTGAAGTATTACCCGGCATTCACATCGAGCTCACTCCGCGGCCCGCGATTGCACATCATATCCGACTCCATCGCCTTAGAATTGACGCTGATATGGTCTTGTCTACTAGTCGATCCTTGGTTCAATTTCAGGGCAACTAAATACTTGGTTCAACATGGCTTCTACAGCTTCTGGGATTGGTTTGACGACAGTAAGTTGTTTCATCATCAGCACTTACCCTTGTTCCAAGAGAATGCAATGGCGAAGCCCTTAGACAAGCAATCCTCAAGTCTGACCACCGTCGAATTTTCCAGGAACCTGGCACCCTCTGGGACGTGTTACGGGTGGTACACTATACCCCGGTCTGATGGTAACCAGCGGCGTGATCTACCACATTCTGCGATTCCTGACCATCCCCGTTGATATCCGTAATATTTGTGTCTTGCTTGCTCCTGGATTCTCAGGCTTGACCGCTTTGGCGATGTATTTCCTCACTTGTGAGATGTCCACATCGCCATCTGCAGGTCTGCTTGCAGCTGCTTTCATGGGTATCGTCCCTGGTTATATCTCTCGTTCAGTTGCTGGCAGCTATGACAACGAGGCTATCGCCATCTTCTTGCTCGTCTTCACCTTCTTCCTGTGGATTAAGGCTGTCAAAAATGGCTCTATCATGTGGGGTGCATTGACCGCCCTGTTCTACGGCTACATGGTGTCGGCTTGGGGTGGGTATGTTTTCATCACCAACTTGATTCCTCTGCACGTCTTCGTTCTCCTTTGCATGGGTAGGTACAGCTCGCGTATCTATATCAGTTACACCACCTGGTATGCTCTGGGCACTTTGGCCAGCATGCAGATTCCCTTCGTTGGATTCTTGCCCATCCGGAACAGCGACCACATGGCTGCTCTCGGTGTCTTCGGCTTGCTTCAACTGGTGGCATTTGCCGACTTCGTGCGAGGCTTCATTCCGGGCAAGCATTTCCAGAGACTCTTGACTACCATGATCATTGTCGTTTTCGGCGTTGCATTTGTGGGACTTGTTGTCCTCACCGTCTCTGGAGTCATTGCTCCCTGGAGTGGTCGCTTTTACTCGCTGTGGGATACTGGTTACGCAAAGATCCATATCCCTATCATCGCATCGGTCTCGGAGCACCAGCCTACCGCCTGGCCAGCATTCTTTTTCGATCTCAATTTCTTGATCTGGCTTTTCCCAGCCGGTGTCTACATGTGCTTCCGTGATCTCAAGGACGAGCACGTCTTCGTCATCATCTACTCCGTTCTTGCCAGTTACTTTGCTGGTGTCATGGTTCGTCTGATGCTGACCCTGACCCCTATCGTCTGTGTCGCTGCTGCCCTGGCTCTCTCCACTATCCTTGATACCTACGTTCTTGCCAGCCCAGGCCCCAACCCCAAGGCGAAGGCTGTTGAGGACACCTCGTCGGAGCCCCTTCGCTCTGCAAGAAAGCCGGACGTTGGAGTCACATCCTACCTCTCGAAGCTGGTCGTGACATCGTCCGCGATCATTTATCTTCTCCTGTTCGTTGCGCACTGCACCTGGGTCACTTCGAACGCCTACTCTTCCCCATCCGTGGTTCTAGCCAGCCGGATGCCGGATGGAAGCCAGCACATCATCGACGACTACCGTGAGGCGTACTACTGGCTCCGCCAGAACACTCCGCACAATGCCAAGGTCATGTCCTGGTGGGATTATGGCTATCAAATTGGTGGTATGGCTGACCGCCCCACTCTCGTTGACAACAACACCTGGAACAACACCCACATTGCCACCGTTGGAAAGGCGATGAGCTCCCGGGAGGAGGTCAGCTACCCCATTCTTCGGCAGCACGATGTCGACTACGTCCTGGTGGTCTTCGGTGGATTGCTGGGCTATTCCGGTGACGATATCAACAAGTTCCTGTGGATGGTTCGTATCGCCGAAGGTATCTGGCCGGATGAGGTCAAGGAGCGTGACTTCTTCACTGCTCGGGGTGAATACCGTGTAGATGATCAAGCCACACCTACCATGCGCAACAGCTTGATGTAAGGATCTTCTTCTCTGGGGTTGGGAGCAAACACTGACGATGATCTAGGTACAAAATGTCCTATTACAACTACCACACCATGTTCCAGGGCGGTCAAGCCGTGGACCGTGTCCGTGGTGCGAAACTCCCGGCGGAGGGACCCCAGCTGTCCACCCTCGAGGAGGCCTTCACCAGTGAGAACTGGATCATCCGTATTTACAAGGTCAAGGATCTGGACAACTTGAACCGCGACCACAGCAACGCAGTCGCATTTGACCGCGGTCACAAGCGCAAGCGTGCGACCAAGAAGAAGGGCCCTCGTGTTCTGAGAACCGAGTAGAGGAGGGTTGTTGCTTGTTGTCTATGTAGCAGATAGAGTATCCGGAACGATGAAAGTGATCCCTTGCGTACTAGATGTTTCATCATAACCTGTATTTGATCGAGGACATAAGCCAAACTAGCTGTGCATCTTCACTTCATCATGGTGTGGAGCCGCTCAATCGTATAAAGAAACCTACGTTATTGTTACTTGCTGAGAAAGAGCGCAGTCGAAAACACCGATTCAGCATTGGATAATATACACATAAACCTATCTCGTAAAACAGAAGCTAAACTTTGAGGGGGAATAAATGAGCAGAGATGAGTGTCAATGAAAGCGCGACAGATTTAAGGAGGCACTCCTGCTGTTGAACGTATCACTTGAGGGCCTGTCACTTGGTCTGCGGTATACCGAATAATTTTGAACATGATCTAACAACCGGCCGGGCTTCAATCGCTGCGGTTATCCGTGAAGTCGTACCAATAGTGCGAGGGAGATACACCATCTTCCAGGGGCAACCAGGCTTCGGTATATATGAGTCCATGCAAGTCAGGCGAAGCCCATCGAGGTACAGCCAATCCGGGATTATGATAGCCCCCCACGTAAGGAAGACGACCACATATGACTCCACGACCGACGCTCCGTTATATCTTCTCTGCGATGATAGCACCCAAAAGTCCAAGCGATGGCGATCAATTGCATTGCATCCAAGCAGGAGAAAGCGGAAGGGATATGTCTATGGACATCCGTCTATTGCTTCTGCTGGGGTTTGGCGGCGGGGGTCTCGGGGACCTTGACGTCGGAGAACTCATCCTGGCCGACGGCGCGTATGGTGTAGGCATCTGGAGGAGTTGAGAGGTTGATGATCAGCTCCAGCTCCTGTGGGTTTTCGATGGGATATCGGAGCAAACACGGGGGAAGGACTGTAGATAAAACATACAGACACCAATGGTGAATCCGACGAGGCACAGGCCGGTAATGGCGTTCTTGACGAGGTAGGGCCGGCGGGCACGCAGGAGGGCGGCTCCGGCGCGGTAGTCCTTGCCGTAGTAGGTGGAGTTGAAGCTGTATCGGTGTCAGTAAACTTGGATTGCGCTGTCATGAAGCGGATTCACGAATTCGCGGCGAGACGGTGGCATGATTGCCCGATTGATTTGACTGTCGCATTGGAAGAGAGGAAACGGGCGGAGGGGGAGGGAGAACATACATTCCAGAGGCCATTTTGACAAGAGAATTCCGGTCGTGAGTTATCACCGGAGGGATCTGGATTGTCAGGGTATGAAGGAAAGAGGAACGAGAGACGATCCGATTGTTAAAGGCCGGAAGATTGGATGACAATCTGGATTGGATTCCTCCAGAAATTAGATGGGATGCCGCCGGGCTTGGCGTTCCTGGCCGGCCGGGCCAGTTGTCCGTGTATGAGTAGAGTATCTACACTACTATACTACACTGCTATAGAAGACAATCATTGATATATGAGCAGGGCTCATTGTGTTTAGGTTCTAGAATTGACCTCCTATGTCTATGTAGTACTAGCATATGCTGGGTTTGACCTCCCTGCTTACTGCGTAGTATCTTGTACTAAGTATATAGTACTAGTGGCTGTTTCGCTTGTTAGGCTGTTATAGTACATCAATTGGTTTTCATGCTAGAGTCTGACTGCATGACCTGACAGGTCACAGGTGCCCCGCAAGTTTTCTCTCACAGAAAGCCCCAAAAGACATAGCACAAAACGTTTACCTTGGAGGCAGTGCACATTATCGTTGTATGATGTGATGATGGCCAGCTGCCATGAGCGGGAGGCGCAGCACGTGACTGGCAGGAGCGTGGCCTTGCCTGTCTTTGTCTGGGTCTCTCGGCTTCTTCATACAACCAATTCAGTTCCGCGTTTAACCTCCTCTCCTCTCCTCGTCCTCCCCCCCTCCATCCACCTTTGATCTTACCGCCGATACCTCTCTTCAATTGACCCGGAATCTCTTGCATAGGTCTCTCTCGGCGACCCATTCGACATTCTCTACGCCTCGTATGTGTGTCTCGGGGACAAATAGTCGTCGCGGCCGTGTTCTAAGCTCCGTGCCTTGGCACCTAACTCCCCTGCGTAGACAGCTTTGACCGGTGACAATCAGACAATCCGCAGTGAATCTGCCAACCCGCCTCGCTCGCCCGTCCTCTGCCAGGCCGTGACCACCGACCGCGGAACGGAGTCGTAATGGCTCAATCGGCCGATCACCTCGGCGATCAGATCGCGCAGCTTAATGCCGCCCGCAATCTCGTTCTGGGCGATGCCGCCTTCTACCCCCAGATCGTGAACGGTGTTCTTCCTATAATCGGATCGCGTGCGCGACTAGAACTGCGGAGATGGGGCGCGGAGTTTCTGGCCGAAACATTTTCTAGCCCGGCGCTGGCTTTGACACAGAAGGAGCAGCTGGCTGCCAACGTCCTACAGGCGCTGCGCGAGATATTGGAGTTGCCGGAAGGAGATGCCTTGGTCTTGAAACATATAGTGCAGAATGCTGCCAGTCTGTATCCGTTGGTGTTTAGGCATATGTAGGTCACTGGCGTTTGCTTGTTGTTCACTGCACTGCACTGCCCCGAGACCCCCCTCCCTGGGAAAAAGCCTCCGTAGACGTTCGCATGAAGCAGGCCTAGAATTGTCTTTCTTGTTGGGCGCGACCACTAACACCTCAATGCTGCAGTATCAACCATCCGCGAGATGGAGCCATATGGGAGAATATGACCGCAATCAAACAAGGTATCCTGCGGCGATGGGACTCCTTTCCTTCGCAGGTCAAGATCTGTTGCATCAAGTTTGTTCAGCGCGTTGTGCAAGTGCAGACCCATGGACCGATTGCAGACCCTAGAGTACGTACACAGGATCCTGTCAGAGGTGTTTTGTCCGATGTGGAGTTAATCTTGTTGTTTTTTCTTGTCTAGCGACCTGACCAGAACGAAACCTCCTTGGCTATCGTGCCTCGCAATCATCCCGTTTTGTCACTTCCCAACCTCGAGGCGGAAGCCTCTGGACTTTTGGATAGACTTCTGTCTGCTCTCCAGGAAGAATCGAGGTACTTGTTCTTGACCGAGAAGTGGGGAGTCCTGGAAACCTTGCTAATGTCTCCGTAGCGACCCCATCCTCGTGAACGCAACGCTGAACTGCCTGGCAGTCCTCATCCGCAGTCGACAGTCCATCGGCAATAAAATCATCAATGCTATCATGAACTTCTTCCCTGCGAGACAAGTACGCCCACCCATAACCCCGGCTGTCCGGGTCGGAGTCAAGTCGATGGAAAGAACCGCCAGGGCCGTTCTCGAACATATAATGAAGAGGTGAGACAAGGATGTACGGTCAGCTTGTACTATGTGCTGAGGACTGTCTAGAAATGCCAACCATCCATTCTTTCGCAAGATGGAACAGCACGTCGATCGGCTGAAGAACTCACGCCTCGAGATCGTCGACGACGCAACAAGGAAACGTGGACCACCTGCCGAACCCACGGACGGGCTTGACAAAACGAAACGAACGAAACTCGACGCCGAAACACCGCCCGTGGTGAAAATCCCGCCACTTCCTCCGGGCCCAACCAGTTACTCGCAGCTCTTTACCCTGACGGAGGATGCTGAAGCTTCACGCTTTGATGTCAAGCAACTACCTCCAGATCTCCTTGTCAACATCGTCGTTCCCATTCTCGCTCGAGTGGATGAATCGGCGTTGACCCAGTCTATCGATGTAAGTTAAAACGTCAGGACGCAGAAGCAATACACTGACCCAGTAATAGGCCATTCGCATGCGCTATGAGACAATTCAGAAGCGACAGGCCGCCCAGGCTCCGGCGGCGGTAGCGGCCACCGACGACGACGATGACGATTACGAGCCAGAGTACCAGCCTATGGACGTTGCAGAACCGGTGCGCGAGCAGGCGCATGCTGAGGCGGCCGAAATCGCAGAGATCCAGCCAGATCTTGTCTCATTGGGACCCTTCGTCTTACCTCAGCCCCCTCCGCTATCAGAGGCCGAGGCTGCCGAAGTTGGTCGCAGTGCTGTCGGGAGGGTGTTCGGTATGCTGGCGTCCAGTGCGGTCGCCTCGAATCCGGCGAAGGGGAAGAACCAGCAGCAGCCGGGATTTGCTCGATTGGCCGGTAGCACCTTCGACCGAGACGCTTGGGTCACTCTACTCACCCGACTCGCCACAAGAGCTCCAGCAGGCCTGGAAGCGGGAACAGGGAAAATCGGACAAGACGCATCGAGCAGAGGCAAGGCAACGATCTCTAATACAATCCGGGAGACTCTATATCGGTACATCCTAGAGGACTTCCGGGGCCGGGTGAATGTGGGCATCATGTGGTTGAACGAAGAGTGGTACAATGACCGGGTGCAGATGCAGTTCACTGCCTCGCAGCGGAGGTCGGAGGACGAGGAAGTTACTGTACCGCTGTTTTATGATCACTGGGTCTTGAGACTCCTGGATGGGTTCTTGCCCTATATTGATTCACGAGACACCAAGATCTTCATCCGCTTCTTGAGTGAGATTCCAGAGGTGACCATACCCATCACACAGCGAGTCGCTAGTCTTGCCAAGGACCCCGAGCGTGTCAATCTATGCGTTCAATCCCTACTGTAGGTCAACTGTTGGGCAATTCGAGTAACCTTCATGCTGATCGTCACCAGGTATCTGATCATGTTTCGACCACCGGCCCGCGAGATATGTCTCAATGCCTTGGAGCATGTATATGAGACCTGTACGTTCCGTGTTCTCCGCTAACTGTTTGTCTTCTAAACTAATTTCTCTCGACGCAGACGAGGAATCACGTCCCGCTGCTGGCAAGGTCTTGGCCAAATGGCGCCCCAAGGCAACGCAGTCACAGCCAGAACAGCAAACAACCCTGGCGAGTCGCGGTGCCACAACGGGGACCAGCGCGACTCCTGTTGGTAGTGCTTGAGACAGTTGATAGAGCCTGTACAGTTTATTAATCCTCCCGTTGTTCCAAGGAGGCGTAAACCGGACTTCGCCAAATGGATTAACACATTGTGCCAATAGACGATCTGTCAATCGTGTAATTTACAACTGTTAACATAGTGCCTGTATTTACGATCAATTGTCCGCCGCGGGATGCGAACCTATTGCAAGTAAGGGATCTTTCTGTTGGTGGTGCACG